AAAAAAAAAAAAAAACAAAACATTATGGGTATGTGTGGCAGCTTATAGGGCTAACAACCACTCTCCTTCTTTCTGCCTTTTTGTTTTTTTTTGTTTTTTTTGCTCCTTTTGTTGCTTTGTCTTTTTTTTTTTTTTTGACACAGGCTCTTCTTGATAGCGGGGTTCATCCCGCCGACTGTTTGATTCTCCTCGCCTCTCGGGAGGGAGATGTTCCCAAGATCAAAGAGCTCATGGCCGCTGGGGCTGACATCTACGCGAAAGATCTGGAGGGCAAGAATTCCCTTGAAAGGGCACAAGACGACAATATCCGGAAGTTGTTGCTTCAGCTGGCAGAGGAGCAGAAGAACTCCCCGGCTATGCCTCAGTAAAAGCATACTCACACTAGGACTTTTTGAGTTGTTTGTGGACGCGATTACGGTTAGATAGGTCCGGCGAGTGAATGCGGTCAGATACATTTGAGATAGAGCTAGGTAGTGTGAGTACGCCCTTTCTAGTTTGTAGTGATTTGATTTTTTGAGAATGATTTTCCGTGTTTTTTCTAGAATCATTTAGTATATGGTAAACCTAATACTATGTTCTAGTAGGGCATATTCGCACTGCAACGTTTTTGAGAGAATCTGGCGGTAAATGCGGTCGTATACATTCAGAAAGGTACAAGTGTGTTAAGTATGACCTTTTCTAAACCGCGTTCAATTGGTCCATTTTTTATTTTATTTTTTTTAATTGGTCCTATTACCCTTACCTTGCTAACAACTAACTTAAAATAAAGGAAAAACGACTGGCTTACGAGCTTATGAAAAAAGACTTTCCCAAAAAAAAAAAAAAAAAAAAAAAAAAGACTAGCTTTCTTTTAAAAAAAAGAGAAAAAAGACTAGCTTTCCTTGTTAAAAAAAAAGAAAAGACTAGCTTTGAAGGGGAGGAGAGGAAGGGAGAGGAGAGGAGAGGAGAGGAGGGGAGGGGAGGAGAGAGGAGAGGAGGGAAGGGGAAGGGAGAGAACTCAGAAGGAGAGAAATCGACGAACGAAGTGAACTGAGTGAATGAATTCACGCGGTAAGCAAGTAGAACTCAGTGTTAACGACTCTGGTCGTATTACCCCCCTTATGGCCTTTTGGAGATGCATGTGACGTGAATCATGTCCACGTTCATTCAAAATTTGGTGGCAATGTCGAGTGCATGCCTGTCATTTCGTGGCATTTCGACTCCCTGGCTTCTTTTTCAAGTCTTATGCGGCCAGCTCGCCGAAGTTAATATCTTGGCCGACCGAGGTTAAGAAGCGAACGACCGAGGTTAAGAAGCGAACCACCGAGGTTAAGAAGCGAGCGACCGAGGTTGAGAAGCGAACGACCGGCCGAGGTTGAGAAGCGAACGACCGAGGTTGAGAAGCGAACGACCGACGTGACCCCGACAACCGAGGTTAAGCAGCGAACGACCGAAGGTTAAGTGAACGCCCGAGGTGACCCCGACATCTGAGGTTAAGAAGCGAACGATCGAGGTTAAGAGAACGACCGACGTGACCCGACGACCGAGTTTAAGCCAACGACCCGGGTTAAGCTAACGACCGACATGACCCCGACAACCGAGGTTAAGAAGCGAACGACCGAGGTAAAGCCAATGACCGAGAGGTGAAGCGAACGACCGAGATGTTCAGCCAACCCGGAGGTTAAGCGAACGACCGAGTTGTTTAGCCAGCTCCTGAGGTTAACTTAGCGACCACGGTTTATTTCCTTCCCCCCTCTTCCCGGAGAGCATTGCGCGAGAAAGGCGGCACTGTCTCTGTTTCCCCAATCCCTTCCCACCATCCAAAAAAAAAGGAGTAAAGGCGGCCATGTTGTAGTCAGTCAGTAGTTGTTGCAGTTGAAATTCCTTTCTCGATTTTGGTTGTTTTTTTTTTTTTTTTTTTTTTTTTGGGAAAGATAACGATCGTGTACATGCAGTGCAGCTGGATTTTTCGAGAATCCCCCCCTCCCCCTCCCTAGAATCTCTTGATGAACGGATTACGTGTTCGTAGAGAGATGCATGCGGTTTTGGTTTTTGTTTTTTAACAAAAAGCCTGCCGGTATCAGGTCCGACTCGATAGGTACGGTAGGCCGTCTCTTCTCGTATTTGTTTCCTTCTTTTTTTTTTTTACAAAAAGCAGCCCGAGCTTGGATGCTCTCTCAAATTTCGTTTTTTTTCTTATGTTTCTTTTCTTTTCTTCTCTTCTTCTTCTTTTTCTTCTTCTTCTTCTTCTTCTTCTTCTTCTTCTTCTTCTTCTTCTTCTTCTTCTTCTTTTTTCTTTTTTTGGGGGGGGTTGAAGTAAATGTCGTAACTGGCGCAGTGCCCAAAGCTACACACTTGTAAAAAAAAATTAAAAAAAATTATGTACTTTTCCAAAAACAAAAGAACAATAAGAATGAGATCAGAGCCATATGGACTCATTTTCTCGCCCTTGGACCGAACTGTCCCCCTGTAGAAAAGTGTCAATCCCTCCAAAGAAGAAAAAAAAAGTCTTCTACTTCCAGCCGACTGCCCACCACCAACGGAGATGATGAAACAGAGGGGACCCCACCGCCACCGCAAAATGTTGCTATTGCTTCGGAGGTGGTCACCCAAAAAGGAAATTTCGTGGCAGTTTTCCTTTTTGGGAAAGGTCGGAGCCTGGAAGGCCATTCCAGGTCCCTTGCCATTGGCTGTAATGGAAGGGCTGCGACTCCGTCCGCATGTGGCGGTAGGTAAACAGACCGACTTTTGGAAAACGGGAATTCAGTGCCACGTAGGAATAAGAGGGCCGCGGACCAAGTGGAAATGGTCGGCCGACGACTTTCGTGGCGGCAAAATCCGTATGTGGGGTCTTGGAAGTTGCCTCCCAACTTCCGAAACCGTTTGCCGCCGTCCTGTGGGGTCCTACCCTAAGGTGAAGTGTATCCCACAAACACCTGTGGGACATCTGCGGGACATCGTCAGACCACTGATGCAGGAGAATCCGAAGATGGCAGCGGAATTGCAATGGATTTTGTGTTTTTTTTTCGTTTTTGTGCTTTTTCTTTTGAGTTCCAAGAATGAGAGGAGGGAAAAGAGAATAGAAGGTGGACCGGGGCGCTTCCACAGGCGCTGCTGTGCGCTCGGACCAAGCGTCGCTAACTGCTAACGGAGGTCTCCATGGTCGTAGCGCTGTCAGCGAGATCGTGGCGCGATAGGGTTGTCGCTGATAGTGGCACGATAGGGTTGGTGCCGTCACTGATAGTGGCGTGATAGGGTTGGTGCCGTCGCTGATAGTGGCGCGATAGGGTTGGCGCCATGCATCCATGTCGGAATGCCGTTGGCACGCAGTGGTATGTGCAGGACATGGTCGCCATCACATGGAGCTGTGTTCCACCTGGACATTAGTAACAAGTTAGGAGAATAGTCTTCTCCGCTACTTAGCTACGAGGGTATTCAGAAAATTGTGTAATCAACTCTCGGGTGAATTAGAAGGCTAGAGCCTTGAGTTATACTAAGGAATTTTGAAATCAAGGGGATCTTTGATAATCATAGCATATATTATGAATGGAAGGAACGGCGGTGGATGAGGTGATGGGAAGGGAAGCCCGCTCCCGCCCCCTGGACCCTAACCTATCGGGTGAAGATCGCAGTAGGTTGAGAGAGATGATTAGAATGTGCTATGAAGAAGGCGTAATCCCCCCGGACATTGACCCAGGAGAAATGCAGATTGACGGTAGGGAAGTCCGGTTCAAAGTGAATCTGGAGATAGACCAAGAAAAGATAGGTTGGCTGAAGGAGCATGCTGTAACTGTTATTTTTCGGGATGGAGCAAGGTTTTTCACACGAAGAGTCAAAGATGATATCGTTCGGGCTTATGAAGATGAGAGCACTCAGGATGGGAGCTTTGAAGCAGAGGAATTTAGGAGAGATAGAGTAAAAGTGGAAAGCCCAAATGTGGTATCGTACATTGCGAAGAACCGGGCAATCGTCTTGTGGCTCTTGACCAAGGGCGAGGATTATCTTACCTTGGGGACATCGACATATCGTTTGGAATTCAAGCCATGGCTCACAGCAGCGCAACTGAAAGAGCAACGAAGGGAGGAAGAGGAACTCACCTTCTGGGTCATTGCGGTGCAGGTGCCTTTGGGAGCAATGCTTTTCCTGGACGCGCACATCAGCAGGGCGATTGGCCCGATCGTTCGAAGGCATCCCACGGAACCTGATAGGATGAGACCATCTTTGGTCAATGTCAAATATGATTTGGACCCCAGCTGTCGTCAGCATATAAAGGACAAGATATGGGAAGACACGTCAGAGGGCATTGGAAGTGAAGTTAGCCTCAGCACAAACACCCAAGTGTAGACGATGCCGGGCCTTTTTTCACATGGAGGAAGAATGTCGGAGGAACGTTCACACGCGGAGCTAGGAACAATTGTTTAGCCAATAACATCAACTGGTGGCAAGCGGACGCGGTCAAGAAGCTTCATCCAGACCTGCTTACTCAAGCATGATGGGGCCCCCAGCTGGAGGTCCTCGGGCGATGGAGGATAGACAGACAGGGCAACAAGGCTTCCAACCATTGCAACCACGCTAAATCCAGTTTTCTCCCCAGGAGGTACAAGGGTAGCAAGAGCAAATCCGGCTTTGCCACAAGGAGCGTGGAGTTGGGCTCTGCCCCCGTACGGCTCATGGAATCCTTACACTAATCTCCAACAATTCGGCATGCCGCCAATCCTACTCCAGCCTCAAGGAGGACAGTGTATCCCGAGAGTTCAACTGCAAGAGGCCCTGCACACACTTGAAGTCGTAGCCTCCACTGGCGGTGTAGGAGGAGGAGGATTGTCGGCGCAGGCTCAGGCTGAGGGCGTAAAACCCCAGAGCCGAGACCATGGGGTACCTCGAACCCCGGGCCCCGGAGGACCAAATGCAGTTGTAGCTTCTACCCCTCTGGGTATTGTACGCTCCAGAGGAGGATCGATTGGTAAGCAACGCAGACTGAGCTTCGATGGGAAAGCAAGCTTGGGGAATCCCCTAAGTGACGGTGAGAAATCGGAACTCTCGCTTCCCCGATTAGAAACCTCCCTAGATCAGTTGAAGGATGTAGGGACACTTGGCAGTAAGAGGACCAGGAGTAGAGCTCCGGTGTCGCTCGACCGAGGTCAAATTAATAATCTGGATAGATGAATCCTTCCACTATTCTGTACCATTGCCCGTAACGCGTCTTGGGTTATTTCGTGGTTAGGGATTTATGGTTCGTTGTCGCTCATTAATCTGCCCTCTCCCGAATCTCCCATCCCGTCGGCAACGATTGCTTTGATTCGTCCAACAATCCAAGATAGATTCACATTCCGCCTGATCCCTGGATTAATTATGCCCCGTCTGTTGGTAGATAGTCCCGAAGGGGGAGGGAAAAACATCAAATTCGTTGTTCCTGTGGTTGACGTCCGATTCGTTCCAGGTCAACTAGAGAGGCTTGAACAAGAGGGTCTGCGTCTCCTTCCCGTACTCTGGTTTTCAGAAGGAAGAAGGAATGAGCTATGTTGGATAAGGGTTCCACCTCTTACCTCGACAAAATTCATGGTAGAGTTGGACGGGAAGATGCCGAGGGGGAAAAAACTCAACTCTATCTTCGTGCAGTCCTGTCTCTCGTGTTCGTGGCTGACAGGACAGTCTCAGCCAACGGCATCCGGGTCCTTCCAATCTCCCCAAGTCCAAGCTGCGGGAGGGGTTTAACCCCCTAGATGAGTAAGTTGAATCTAGCTACTTGGAATCTCCGCGGGTTGGGGGACACATCAAGCAAACATAAGAAAGAGTGTTTAAAGTCATGGATTCATGACAAAAACATTCACATAGCATGTCTGCAGGAAATGAAACTTGGTGAGGAAAAGATTTCCACACTAGGTAAGTTGTGGGATGGGCCACAGGTGTGGTTCCCAGCCCAAGGTACCCGTTGGGGAGTCGCTACCTTGAAGTTAATACATCGGAAGCTAGATTTTGAGTTGATCGACTTTTGTGTCGACCTATGGGGCAGGTGGGCATAGGTGAAGTTGGTGGTAGAGAACGTGGAATGGATTGTTGCCTTTATCTATGCACCTACAGATAAACGGGAGCGGGTTATCTTCTTTCAGGAGTTGATATACATTATTTCACAGGCGAAGCACATCATAATCACTGGGGATTGGAACACATCTATTGATGTGGTTCAATCCAATACGCAACAAAACTATCTCAATGACAAAATAGCTCTATTAACGGTAATGGAGGATCTTAATATGATTGACCCGTTTCGCCTGTCAAATACAGAAGAAAACGGGTTCGCTTTGCTCTCGAATAATCACAAGGGGGTTGGCATCACTACACAACAGAAAAATTCCCACGTGGAATGAAAGTTTCAAAAACATTCCATAAAAGAAAAATCCTTCATATTTATAAATTATCATTCCAACGTTTGTCCTATTCTAAAATTTTCTGTTTAATTTGATAAGTTCCCGTCTAAATATGAGTTTTCCCTTCCAACTACATCTATTTGTTCAAGATGGAATTGAAGTCTGGACGAGTTGATGACATGTTTTAATTAAAATTACATTCTACTACAACAAATATCTTCTAATTTAGATTGGATTAACTTATTTCTGACTGAAAATCTTTACTTAGAATGACAGTCCAATTAAAATATTTCATGAACTCATACAGACTTTCATTCCATCTCTAACATGCAGTCCAAATAAGAAGGGATACCATATTCTTGGAATGAAAGTTTGCAAGTAAGATGAAAAATTTTAAAATTTAAATATCATTTTTTAAGATGGAATGAAAATTTGAAATTTAGATTGTAATTTTACTATAGAATGATTATTTAATTCTAGGAATTTTTTTCGTTGCACGTCGCCTAGACTTCTTCCTTACCACAGCTAATCTTTGGGATAAGCTGGACAGGGTGAAGGATGATATGCACCCTATGTCAGACCATAACCCAATTTGAAAGTTAATAATCGTGGGAAAGGAATATTCCAATTTAACACTCAAAATATAAAAGATCCAGGTCTCGTAGCCTAGATGAGGAAATTCTGGAAGGACTGGTCGGATGTTGAACGTGTAC